AAATTTCGGATACATTGTAAGGATTAGCTGCCGTTGCATGTTGTATCTATTCTCGTAGAGCGTTGTTTAGACATCGGCTACCCACAATCTGGCTATCGCCTCACGAGCGGTTTTACGGGGTGTGTTTGCGAATTCAAACCACTAGGCTCCCTGAATAAACAACTGGGAGCTAGGTGAATGATGCTGAGCGGTGAATAGGCGGAACATGTTCCAGAGGACAGGAAAGTCAACCAGCTTCGAGGAGCGACGCATACCCAATAACCTTTGTACTGTAATTGATAAGATAGTATAGACATCCTGATAACACTACTAACAATGATGAGCTTCCCACCAGTCCCCGACGACTGTGTACTACCACAATGAATATAATTGATTGTCTTTTAGATTGTGTTTTTGGTGACTTTGTTCATGATTTTCCGCTTCGACGGTCAGTTGATTGCACGGATTATCTTCAGTTATGGTAATCGAAGTGTTTGAAACAGTCACACGCATCTGGCAACATTTCTGTCCAGGTTTCCGATGCTAATCTCACATTCCAGCTCATTTTATATTGGTTGAGTTATTCAGTTATACATAATTCACCAGATCACCAAGTATGGAATTACCAGTGAATAATTTTTGTCAACTTCTTATCTACCCTTATTATTACTTCTCGACGTCCTAGTGTTTTCCCCCTTGTTTATGGGCCATAAATATAATGAGTACTACCTGGAGCACTACAGAAGGTTCGGAGCGATCATGGTGTGTTTTGCTTTCATTTCTCTGGGTGAAGTAGACAACAACCAATTGGGTTATGAAGTTTCATTCCGATAAATCTATCTGGATGAACGAGCGAGTCTCACTGTGGACCAGAATCAAAGCTGGACAATGACGCACCACAGGCCGTTGACGAGTCGGTTGCTTGATATTTTCAAGACAGCGCGGACTTAATTCATCTATCTCAAATCCACGGAGGGAAGCAATCGGGATGTGCAGAAAGCAAAATAAACAAACTATGAGGGATTGTTTGATGTCCACTGATCGTCGTTCATTTTGAATTAAAATGTGACTGGGATCGAGAAAACAATAAGGATAAACATTGGGCACTTTGATTGGTCAGGACTGAAACACCAGAACATGAGTCAAAACGCAATGTCCGACAAGAATTTTCAACAAAAACTGCTCCCCCTGATCAATCATAACAGAAACAGTACTGTAATCAGATAGACCAACTGATGAAACAGCTGGTTATAATAGATTCTGAATGGGTCAACTGATCGAGACCAATCTTATTCCATTATACCGTTAGATCGTCAACCACAGATAGATAGACGGGAAGTATAGGAGTTAGGATTGGAAGCTGTTCATCAAGCACCATACTCACTAAGCTTTGTCCAGTTTATTCGGAGAGTTCACCAAGAAAAGTAGTTCAAACCTAATAATTGGTTGAAAAGGTTGTTTCATAAAGTTTATTGACTTTTTCTGTTTGTTAAGCATCCCGAAGCGCCAACTTTAACAAGTTATCATTAAAACTACAACTTGTTTGAAAAAATTGGCACACAGTCTATTCATGAACAAAACAACCTGATACCATTCCCCGAGGTCTCCTGTATGTAGTACCTGCTTCAAGAGATACTGATACATGCAGATGAACTTTAACGGTGACACAGGTCAAATCTACGATCAATCGGACAATGTTTCAATGAACCGACGAGAATAAGATACATCATTACGAAAATTCTTTACAAATACATCAAATAAACCCTTTAAAAAATCCCGTGAACATATCTAGTCCATGAAAGTTGTCAAGGGCACTGATGATGTCACCGCGGTTGGTGATGAAACGTTTGCAAACAGATTGCCAAGCTCGGCGAACAGGCAAAATGGAATACCTTGTCCATGTTGGATTATCCGTGTTACTCCAGGAGAGAACATCTTGATCATTATGCAATGGAAATGGTGTTGTTTGANTCTTATTATACGGATGGACCAGACAGATTATTTTACGTTGTAACACAATTTACAGTTGCTTTTGACTCTACCTACAGGAATTTCAATTACCTTGACACCTTCTCAGTAGAATACACAAATATTTGAAGATATATAGAAACTGCAACAGCTAACGTTTTAATTTTCCTTGATCTACCTTAAACATTGTTTCCCAAGGATAAGATGACTTCATGATTCAATCTATAAATAACCCTTAGAAAATAATGCAAACCGGTGTTTAAGGTACCACCTGATGCTTCAGTTCTGGGTTGAACCTCTATTATTTATGCTATTGAGTGCTGCTTGTCAGGTGAAAGAATGATTGCCACGTCTTTAGTTGGTAGTAGGCCAGATTCGTGTATGTCACGACATTGTCCACGACCCATTGTGGTTTTAGTATTATAGAGTTTTACCTATTAGTAGAAAATCAGTTACGCCATCAGACATTAAACATTTGCACCAGCTTTCTTATGTGAAGCCATGCCCTCATATTCATAGGTAATCAATAAAGTGGCCGTTCATGTATTTATGGACTGGAAACGATTTTGCAGCGTACAGCGCATACTTGTAGCGGCATTCAGAGCTGAATAGAACAAATTTTTAATTCGTGCTTCTACAAATACGTAGTAATGAATATCATTGTTTCACTGCTAGGGTATTTTAGGTGGTACGCTAATAGGATCATAATTATCTTTTAGCTTTCAGTTGTCCCATCATATGGCAGGGCAATTGGTACACCTACCAGTCAACGAACTGATCAATCACATTAAAGGAACACGGTCGTATTTCGTAAGTTCTGAATTCACGATTAACCTTCTGGTCTGTTCGGTTGTACAACAAGAATGAAGGAAAATCATTTCAATTCTGTATATTTTTAATTGATGTGCGGAGTACAATATCTCCACATTGATTGTTTTCTTGTTGATGCAAAAAATGAACTGGAAGAGCAATGCATATACAATAGAATAGGTAAAATTACCGCTTTATTACAGCCGCCATGAATTTGAGAAAGAAAATTCAGGAAATTCAGTTGATCAAAGGAGGTGGTAATAAAAAAAATCAGCAAATATGGGGGTTGGGGGTGGAAAAACATGCAGG